TGATCCAGGAGACGCTACATTTTTTTTTCTCCATCTTGTTAGTGTCTTTCCCTCCCCATGTCCCACATGCAGTGTTCTTTCTTTTCTTCTCTGCCAAGCAAATACTAATTCAGCTCAGGTCTCTCTTCTCTCATGAAATTTTCTCATTGTCCATGTAGTTTGATTATTCATCATCATGTAACTACTTTGTTACCCACTGAGTCATTGTATAGGTTACCAGCAATTTCTGATTTTTTGTTTCATAATGATAACAGGACTATAAATGACTTCAGAATGAGAGCCAACAAGATGGCTTAGCAGGTAAAGGCACTTGCCATCAAGCTGGGTAGGCTGACTTTGATCCCAGGATCCCACATAGTAGAAGTAGAGAACCAGCTTTGGGCAGGCAAACACAACAAATAAGTAAATAAATAAAATAAATGTAAAGAAAAGACATCTAAGCCGGGCAGTGGTGGCGCACGCCTTTAATCCCAGCACTCGGGAGGCAGAGGCAGGCGGATCTCTGTGAGTTCGAGACCAGCCTGGTCTACAAGAGCTAGTTCCAGGACAGGCTCCAAAACCACAGAGAAACCCTGTCTCGAAAAAAGCAAAAAAAAAAAAAAAAAAAAAAAAGAAAGAAAGAAAGAAAAGAAAAGAAAAGACATCTAAAAAATGTTTATTGCCGACTTTTTGACATGGTAGTTTAATACTCAGCAGTTCAGTGTGTACGTCAGTTATATGGACCTTTGGTGAGGTAAGTACCCCAGAAAATAGTATCCACCCAAGCAGTTATCTGGTGCTAGATTTGTTAGACCATGCTTCAGTACTATTGCTTCCATCTCGCTACCAGATGGAAACAGAAAGTTGACTTTGAGACCCTTTAGCTATCAGAGGAATTGTTTTACACTGAGTAAGTCATATTCTTTGCTTAAAACAAAACAAAACAAAATCTTTATTGTGTTTCCTTTTTAAGACTCTTGATAACTACGTTTTCCCCATAACCCTTTAGTATGTTTTTTCAGAACCTGAGAGATTTATCCATTTCAACTCCTTATTTAGCACATTACTGAAAATACCTTCAGAGAAGCCCACAATGCAAAGAACAAGCTTTTCTTGGAAGCTCATTCTATCTGCTCTTTTAGTCACTACTTCTGTGTGTATTCCAGAAAACAGAAAACATACTGGGATGTCTGTTGGTTCAGATCTACTCCATTGCTTGTGGTGAATCAGATTTTATGTATTCAATGTTCTTTACCCTGAAAGTTGTACTAACTAGTTATTACTTACCTTGTGAGTGCACCAGCCATTTCATCTGACAAACACATGCACACATGTACACTCTCCACCTCCTAGAGTGATGAATCCATATACAAGAGGGTGTGTGTGTGTATGCTTAATTGTTTAAGGGGACAAAGGATGAGGTTGGGGATGGATTGGAGAAGGCAAAAATATATATTTTAATTTGGCCGAGTGGTGGAGGCGCACGCCTTTAATCCCAGCACTTGGGAGGCAGAGGCAGGTGAATCCCTGTGAGTTTGAGGCCAGCCTGGTCTACAAGAGCTAGTTCCAGGACAGCTAGGACTGTTACACAAGGAAACCCTGTCTCGAAAATACATATTTATCATTGTTTTTTAGGTACTATGTATTCTTTATCACCATAAAGGATGGAAATACACAGTCCTTGCCTTTGAAAGCATAGTTACAGCAAGTATTAAGTAATATAAATTTTGTGTTGTAAATGTCAAAGCTGTTTATGTCCAGTGGTTGTCACAAGACAGACCTTTAGTGAAGGCAGTGAAAGAATTCTCCCTAGAGATGACACAGGACAAGCGCTGTTGAAGCAGATTTAAGATTTGCTTAAGTGGGACCCATGGGATGGCTCAGCTGGTGAAGGCTCTTGTCGCCAAGCCGGACAGCATGATTCAATCTCTGGAACCCACAGGGTGGAAGGAAAGAACTGAGTCAAGTGTGTTGTCCCCTGACATGCAAGCAAGCAAACGCACACACGCACACACAGACACGCACACGCACACACACACACGCACACATGGATTTTTAAAAGGTAAGAGAGTGAGAGAGACAGAAAGACATGATTTGCTGAGGGATAGAAGAAAAGGCTGGGCAGACATCTTACGATGGGAGATGTGGATGAAAAGGAGATACTCGTGTACTCTTAGGAAGGCTAGCTTGATTCCAATTGCCGTTTTGCAAAAACATGAAAAGTTTAACTGAGTAAGTGGTCATTTGGTAATGATGCTTATGTGTAGGTGTGCACTAATGTGTGCTCGATGAGGATGTTAGTAGAGGAATGCATTGTATCAGTAATGCTACTGTCTATAAAGTTTCCTTCCATGTCATGCAGTTCTGGAAAATTCAGCCTTTTAATTAGTACAGTTGAAATTCATTAAATGCTAGAGCTAGTTTTATCATGCCTAAGAAAAGAATTTTTTTGTGTTTCTTGTTTTCAGCATTCTTTTTCTGCTTTTCTAATCCTTAAAAGTTAAATTGTGTTCCTCTATTAGACTTGAGCTATGTTCTGTTTGACCCACTCTGTTAGGAAGTGACTTCAGACATACCTGTTTTACTTGCCTTGTGGACTCAATGAAAGTTGGTGTAAAGTAGCTTCTGAGGGGAAACAAATGCATTGTTTATAGTGGGTTAGGCTGCCCTACATTTCAGTGTGTCACTGGGTCAGTGTGTGACAGCTTGAAAATACTAATAAAGGGTATTTTAAATAGTGTGTTAATTAGTAAGTTATGTGCTTAGAAAACCACTTAGTTGATTTCTTTTGTTATTGTTAATTTACATAACTATTCAACAGACCCATGATACTGTCTCACTTCAATCTTACATCTAGTTTATTAATTGCAAAAGGCTTTAGAGTACTTGACCCAGTATTGAAATTGCTCTTTAGTATTCATGGTTTACCAGTTTTTAGAACCTAGAACTGGAAGATTATATTCTGCCTATGACCAAAAAATTGTGTCAGTTTCATAAGCTTATAATGGAAGCTAGTAGTGGGCAGCGGTTTGGAACAGCCACAGACTTATTCTGTGTTTCTGTAAATTATTTTCCACTGTCTATAATCGTAAGAGTGGGCATTCTATATTGCTTTGGTTGGGTGCGTAATACAGCAGCGTTGGTGGGAGCTGACAGAGAAGCAGCTTTAACTGCAGGTCTTGATGTGTATATGGTTGTTCATAAAGAGCCGTTTTCAAGGGCTTCAGGTCAGTGATAGTACTTAACTCCAGGTTGAATTTTTATAGCCAAATTCTTAGGAAATTGTCTCTGTTATCTGAGTTACTCAAATGCAAATTTACATTGAATAATTCTTCATTTAAGGATTTGTTTGCATTTGTTCAATATCACAGAGACTTTTTGGGGAAAATTAATTTTTATGATAGTTTTTTTCTATGGACTAGAAATTGTGATAAGTGTCTTTGTTTGAATTTAAGAAAATGTGTTGCTGCATAGGTGAGGTAGTATTTGAAGCACTCAAAAAAGTTCATGTCAGTGTTTTGGTTCATTTGATTATTTTCTTTTCTTCTTTTTGTTTCATTTTTCTCTCTTTTTTTCTTTTTTGCTTTGTTTCATTTTAGTTCTTTTATGACTTTTTTTATTTTAGCTTTTAAAGGGGTGTCTGTGGCCTTGCTGCATACTTGGCTGGCCATATTTAGTCTGCATACTAATTGTTAGTTCGCCCAATTGAATCTTACTTTATGCTGTTAGGTTTTTTTTTTGATATGATTTTCTATTTTTGTCCACCTGGTTGTGTTAGATTTTTATTCTCATGGACTGGGTTTTAATCCCATGCACTAAATTTTAGTCTGCAGACTAAAAGTAATCCGCGGATTATTTATTTTTTGCAAAATGTTTAATTCCCCCACTGGAAACTATCCTAAAAGAATGTTACATTCTCCTAGCTTAGTCAAGGGAGTTCACAGCTACTGGTGAGTTCTGCCAATTTTGTGTTCTCAATACCTAGACACAATAGACCCTGCTCCCTTCCTGCATATGTGGCTCCGTTTTGCCTAGGTGTTGGTGTACATTATTCTGCATGTCACCTGTAACTGTGACTGTCCCTTAGTTGTTTTGTTTATTGTATAAATTTTCGTTTAGATTTTGGTGGGTGAATTGGGCATATTTGCAGGTGAAGTTGTATTGAATTTGTATTACTCAAAGATAAAGGATTTTTTTTTCAGTGAGTTTTTGTAAAAAGGAAAGAATGCTCTCTATATTTTTCCTAAGGCATGGGTGCAAGGGTATGAGGGGGCAAAGCCCATAGTAGAAAAAAGTAAGTTTATACCTGCACTCCTGAGGTGATATGTCATTTCCTGAAGAGTCCTAATATACTGAAACTATCAGTAAAAATATCTTCTAGCAGGGAAGTCAATCCAAAACAGGAGAATAATCCGCGGTGGCCTGATTCTTTCTTAGCTCACACAAATTAAAAGTATCTGGCTTCAAATTTATAGTAATATAAATTAAATAAACTTAATACTTCTCTCTCGTGACCAATAATTTAGCAAAAAAAAATGTTTATACTGTGTAACTGAAAAAAATATTGTGAAATTCTAGCATATTGGGAACATCCATTTTTAAAAGCAGGCCAATATGCCCCCTCCCAGCCATGTCTACGGATAATAAATCCAGGTCATAGAAGACCTCTTTACTTTACTTCTAGATTTCATTTTGATTTTAACTTATTTTGGTTTTATATTTTTTTGATAAACACACTGGCATTGGAACATGATAAACTAAAACAGAAATGTTTCTTTACTGTGCCTCACCATTGCACAAATCAAAGCAAATTTTTGCATACACTTGTGGTGAAATAATTTTTAAAATTTGGACTTACTACTGTGGAGACGAATGCTTAAAGTTTATAACTGTATAAACATTTTCTATGTCCCCGACACCATGGATTTCTTATAACATTGGCTATATTTTTCCTTGCTGGACTATTCTCTTTTGCATTGACTTCCCCTGTTTGGATTATTTCACTGCATTATCACCTTTAGGACTCGTCAGGAACAGGACATTTCACCCCAGGAGTACGGGTATGTACTTTTTTTTTTTTTTTAAACTTTAGGGAAGTTTTATATCTCTAGGGAAAATGTTTCTTGAAAAGGCTGAGCAGCTGTTCCTTTCTGAACTGTGCTGATGAACACATTGGGAAGATGGTTTCTGTGTTTGTGGTTTTGGTATAGTTCATATAGTATATTAGCATGTCAGTATCTATTGACATCTGGATTGAGAGAATTTCAGTTATTCTTAGATACAACCAAAGATTCTCTGTTATTTCAGTAAAGAATGATGTAGATGTAGAAACTTGACTAGAAACTGTATTTCAGTAGCTGTTGGTTCCCTTTGCTTTAGAAGAACTAGTGTCTAGTTGAGACTATTCATTTTGGAAGTTGCATGCTATCATAGCCCTTATTATGGTCAGAAATCTGAATTCTGAGAGATACTAGGTTTTGATTCACATAATTTCCCACTTAATCTTTATCCATAAGGTACTGAACTAAAGCTTTTCTCATGAGGAATCTCGTGAAAAGTCAAAGTAAATGAATACTTTTTTTAAAGGCAGGTTACTATTCTAATAAAGACTTTTGGCATAGGTTATTTTTTAACCCTGTGTTTCCTCAAGTTAGGATTTTTTCACAAAATATGTGCTTTAGTACCCAGATGATAGGTGGTCACTTGTAGCCAGCAGAATACCAAAAATGATACAGGAAATGGATTCTTTTAAATATTCCAAAATATAACCAGAACTCTAATTTATTAAGACTTTCAACAGAAAACTTTTCATTAATATAGCACGATTTAGTATGCTTGTTTTCTTTTTGCTTATTTGTGGTTGTTTTGTTTTTTCAAAACATGTTTTGTTTGTTGGTTTGTTTTTCTGTGTAGCCCTGGCTGTCCTGGAACTCACTGTGTAGTCCATGTTGCCCTCAAACTCACAGATGTGCCCGCCCCTGCCCTCCAAGTGCTGGGATCAAAGATGTGTGCCACTACAACTCAGTTGCTTGTTTGTGTTTTGAGACAAAGCTTCACAATGTGCCCTGCTGGCCTCAGATTCACTGTATAATCCAGGCTGGTCTCAAACTGACAGATAATCCCCTGCCTTTTAACTGGTCACTATGCCCAGTTAAGCATGAACTTTTAGATTTCAAAGAACCTAATATTTGTGTCTCCTGCTCTTAAATTTTAGCAAGAGTTATTTTTGCATTCAAGTGCTGTCTAATTCTATTCACCTAATATCATATTGGTGGCAAGACATTTTGCATTAGCTAGCAAGTAAATCTATATATTGTCAAGTAGATACAAACTACCAGTAATTTTTGTATTTTTCTCGTTATTTGGAATCAGGGTCTTACTATGTAGCTCAGACTATCCTACAACTCACTGTGTAGACCACCCTAGCCCTGAACTCACAAAGAACCACCTAGCTAATTTCAGTATTTTTATGACAATTTTTTTCCTTTTTTCCATTCTGGATTTGATTGGCACTTGGAAATAAGGGAGAGAGGGTGGTGACTAAAAATGGTGGAGAAATGAAACCTTTAAGTTGTATAGCAGCTTTGAGATTCCCTTGGCTAAGGCAAATTACAGTACTCAAAAACATAAAGACAAGGCAGTTTTGAATTTGCAAAGGGCTCTCTAAAATGGCCAATTGACCAAGCCCTCAAAATTAAGCCTTAGAGTTCTAAATTAATCAAACCTCAAAATAAATTCTTAAGATCCTATGCAAGGTACTTTGTCAATTTCTGTGGAAAATAATATATTTCTATAATAAACTGTATTTTTTAAAGGGGAAAGAAAACAACCCCTGCAGTTACCACTAGTATTTAGAAAGTGCTCAAGTCCTTGACTATTAATGAGCCCTGTGGTGACGACAAGCTCTCCTGTCTTCAGCCCAAGTGATGTGAGCCTTCACCTCCCAGGGCCCTGGTACTGTTTTGTCCGTCCTCACCAACCCTGCCTTTGCTTTGCTCACGTATGCTTTCTATCAAGGAATCTGTTTTGTTTTTCTTTTCATTTCAAAGGTTCTGTGTTCCATCTGTTCATGCTTATGTTTTCCCCTCTGTTCTTTACCTTTAACTAGCTGTCATTTAGAATAAAGTCTGTGTTCATCGTTATATATACTGATTCATTTTAAGACACAGCGGGCGTAAAGCTGTCTATTCTTTTAAGCAAATCAGTTAATTAATATTGCTTCATTATAGTCTTCAGTTGACCTTTCTGTAAATTATCGGCTCTTTTTGAAAACATTTAAAACTCTAGATTATTATTCATTGAAAGAAATTCAAGTGAGAATGATCTGTCCAACTGTTCAAGAGCCCAATGCCAGACGTTTGAGAAACTCTAGGTATTCCAGAAACTTTGAATAAGGCTCTATGTGTTAAGAAGATAATACCAAACCATTAGTGTTTTTACAATTAAAACAACAGCTGTTCTTTTTTTAAAAAAAAAATACTTTTCTTAAAACTACTGACTGAAGTATTTAATAAATACGTATTTAAAAAATAAGATTTGAAGAGTGCCATCCATTGTCAAAAAACAATTGTTCCGTCAAAAAGAGTACCAGAGGCCACAGCAGTAAACACTTTAAGTTAAAAAATATATTCTTACAGTTGTGCTTGCCTCAGATGTCAGCTTTTCTATGTCTACAGTAGTATATGGTCGTGCTTAAGAGGTAGGGTATTCCCCGAGCTTTTCTTGGATAGTTTTTTATTAGCAAATGGTTCATGACGTGCAGTTAACTCTTAATTCTAGATTTTATAGCCATGTTTTTATATAGTGGGAATTAACTCAGTACTCAAAGGATTTTTTGACTAGGTTCTTATAAGAGAACTTAATTGTTCTTTCTACTTCTTTGTCCTTTCAGGTCTTCCGGCCCCGAACTCCACCAGAGGCAATTGCACTGTGTAGCCGTCTACTGGAATACACACCAACCGCCCGATTGACACCACTGGAAGCTTGTGCACATTCGTTTTTTGATGAATTACGGGACCCAAATGTCAAACTACCAAATGGGCGAGACACACCTGCGCTCTTCAACTTTACCACTCAAGGTAATTCCAGACCCTTCATTTTTATCCGTTTCCGGGTGTGGTCATTCGAATGACATGTCCGCCATAAGTCTCCAGCATTGAAATATTTGGGGCCTAGTTGGTAGCTATTTGGGAGAGGATTAAGAGGTGCTGGAGAAGTAGGTCACTGGGAGTGGCCTTTGAGGTTTCATTCCCAGTGTGCTGTCTGCTTCTTGTTTGTTTTCTGAGCTGTGCTGCTCCAACTGCCTGCCACCCCCCATCTTCTCTCATGGACTCTAAGACCAAAACAAACTCTTTTTTTACCTCATAAGTTGCTGTGGTTATGATATGTTTTCACAGTAGTAGATAAATGGATGTGAGATGACACTTAGTGATTATCTGTAGGTGACAGTGATCATACTAAGTACTTGTGGAAGTAAGAAATGTCTGTAATTTATTATACCAGTCTTTGTGTGGTTCAACAGAAGAGTGACAGATAAAAGTTTGCAAACAGTTGTAGTTTGACTATTTTTTACCAGATTGTACTAAATTTGGTCATGTGACAAAAATGCAAGGAGATTTCAGTGAGTTAGTGTATTACCAATAAGACTAAGCAATAGTGTAACCTTAGATTTGAATCAAAAAAAAAAGGAGACTAATAGTATTTCTCAAGCGTATAAAACAGGTTTTTAAACTTTAGGAATTAATTTTGCCTGTTGTCGTAATTCTGTTGCTTTGTAGAGACACTACAACCATGGAAATCTCATAAAACAAAGCACTTAATTGGGACTTACAGCCTTAGAGATTTAGTCCACTATCATCATGGTGGGGAGTATGGTGGTGTGCAGGCAGACCTGTTGCTGGTGAACCGTCTGAGAGCTTTACATTCTGATCTTCAGGTAGCAGGAAGAGAGAGACACTGGGCCTGGGTTGAGCTTCTGAAACCTCAAAATGACACATGTACACCAACAAGACCACACCTGCTCGTCCTTCTCAAGTAGTGCCTCTACTTGAGATGACTAAACATTGAAATACATGAGCCTGTGGGAGCCATTCTTACTCATCCACACCTGCATGTCTGTAGACATTGCTGCTGAGTAAACACTAACAGGAAGCTGAGTTCACTTGTTCGTTGGTGGTTCCTGAGAAATCTAAAGATTCCCATCATCTGCCTGTCATTCTAGTGTCACTTCCTCCTCATCAAGACTTCCAGGCAGTCTTCCTTTTTTTAACTCACCTCCTCTAATGGTATCTTCCTCCCCAAACTAAACACAAAGAGTTTGTAATTCCCCATCAATAAAACAAGAGAAGGAAGTGATGAGTATCTTGACTGACTGAGTGGTAAGGATTAGGCAGGCTAGGAAATGCATCAGGGAGATCAAAGGCATTTCTTTTATTGAATGTGGAGGGTACATTTTAAAACTACTGCCAACACTGCTACAAATTCCTTTTTCCAGGCTCTATAATTCAAGTGTTTCTCTGAATACTCTATCCTCCCACTCGTTACTGTTCTGCTTAACATGGAGTGATAAGGATCCCAAACACATCAGAGTTCCAGATCAGCTTTAAAGAGTTACCAGTCTCTGGACTTGTAAATATGCTTTTAAATGTGACTCAAGACGCCCTCAGCATATATGGTAGTCACAGAATGTTGACACTTGGAGGCTAAGCCGTACAGGCCATTACTCAAATCTTACATGTTTATTTCATGCATTCCTCCACATTCAATTTAGAATAATCTAAATACAGAGGGTAAAATGTTCATCTTCCAATAAAGGAGATGTCTCTATCTTGATCACAGAAGGTTCCCCATCTCCTTAGTATATCATATAAAGGATAGTCATATAAAGAGAAGAATAAATATATGTTCTTTCTCCAGATTACAGGGTTGAAAATGATAGCAGAAAATTAGAGCAACTGTACATATAGACTGAATCAAGTTGCAAGTGAATCCGTGAGAGTCCAGCTAGCTCAGGAGCGAGTTGTTTCTCTATGAGCAGCCCCTGTGGCTGGAAGTGTCAGGGGAAGGCTGCAAAACTTCAGGTCAGTGATAGGGAGGGCAACTGTGGTTTGACAAAGGGTTAAACTAGGATGCTAACTGACCTCTTTCTCAGTTCTCTTGACAAAGAAAATTTGTTTTTACTCCTTATTGCTTTGGTTTTCACCAATAGCCATGCACATAAAGAAAATGCTGGAAACAGAAAAAATGCAGAGAAAACTGAAGGCACAGCTCTTGCTGATTAGTTAGTTTGGCTAATAATCATTTTGTTACATACTGCAGTGTAGTTCTCAAGATTTCTAATACATTGATAATCCATGATAAATACTTTTGTAATTAAAAATAAACTAATTAACAAAACCCCTGGTCAGATGTGTGACAAATACATATAGAAGTATTGATTAATCCTTAGACAGGTAGATATGAAAGGGCAATTTTCATTGTTTCCAGACATATTTAGCACATATTCTTCACTGTGTGTAAATACACATGTGTGAGTGAGTGTGTGTGTGTAAGTAAAGTGAAATACCACTTAAACGTCTTATTTAATCAGATTCCAGAATCCATACTTAAGTTTACATTGTTCTCCTGTGCTGTTTTGAAGTAATTCATTTGATTATTAACTCACCAGTGAGAACCTTCTATTACTACTAATGAAATAAAAATTTAAAGTTACCAATTCACCAAATCCCTGAGGGTTTTTTTAATTAAAAAAAAACTAAGATGAAATTTATGAAGTTTTTGTTGTTGTTGTTGTTGTTTTTTTAAAGCAAACAGTTGGGGGCTGGAGAGATGGCTCAGCAGTTGGGAACACTGGCTGCTCTTCTTGAGGTCCTGAGTTCAATTCCCAGCAACCACATGGCAGCGCACTACCATCTTTAATGGGATATGATGCCCTCTCTGGCATGCGGGCATACATGCAAATAGCACTCATACATAAATAAAAATAAATGAATGAATGAAAAGAAACAAATAACTTTTAAGGGGCAAGCAATGTAGTGTCGATTATATATTTCTCATGCTGTGCATCTGACACCTTTATCAGCTTCCAAAACGTTTTCTTTGCTCCTGAAGAAAATCATGTCCTCTTTAGCATGAACTCATGTCTATCAGCAGCAGTCAGTTTGCTTTTTGTCTCCATGGATTTACCTTTTTGGGAACCTCATACTGTGTGATGCTAAGTATCTTATTTCTTCACTTAACCTATTTTCATCCTTAGAGCATTATTATCCTTCACTCTTTCTTGTGTGGCTGCATCCTGTGTTTTACTTAGGCAATCATCTGTGATGGACTCTTGGGTACTGTTGGAACAGTTTATATGTAAACTTTTATTTGAGTACTTGAGGTACTACTCAGTCACATGATAATTCTGTTTATAGAAACTAGCACACCATCTCCACAGCTGAACATCTATCTTTTTTCCATACTGGCAGGGTAGAGGAGTTTTAATTCCTCTACAGGTGTGTTTTTGTTTTCCTAATGGGTGTGAAATTGTATATTACCCTGTTTATCACACTGTAACGAGTCAAAGTTCAATAAATGCTATTACCTATTTGCAGTGTCCCTCATGTTTAGGGACTTGGACCTGACTAGGGTGTTGAGGGAATGAAGAAAAGGGAGATAGACAGATGGACACATGGAGCGAATCTGGTATCAGGTGATCTGGGCTCTTGGCTGGTGGAGTGATCTCAGCACTCTGGAAACTCAGGATGTTTGTTATATAGAGGTAAACAGAACCAGGGTATTACATGCAGTTGAAATAGGAGGTGGGGTTATTACATACAGATATAATAAGGTGGTACAGTTCTTGATACACAGCTGTATCAAGCAGACAGGTTTAGCTTGTTAAAGCAGTCTGTAGGAGAACAATGGGGGACAAAACACTGGTGGGCATTTTCTGCACACAGTATCAATATCCACACATAGACCACAAGGGAAAGTTTGCCTTTTTCCTGTGAACCTCATCCTGAGGTGAAGTGAGGATTCTTTGTCATTCTTCCATGGGTCTGAGGCTCTGGGATTCTTGACATGGCCAGATTATGTCAATAGCACATTCTAAGCTTCCTCCATTCCTTGTATCTGTTCTCTTGTAAAATTGCAGCCATAAACATGAAGGAAATTGCTTTGTACTTTAGAATGTGGCCTTGAAAATACTGAAGGACTTTCATGACTAGGTCAGTTTTCTATACCATTTGCTAGGCAGTTTCTGAACTTGGGCTGAGAATAAAGCTCTACTGGTAAAGTGCTTGACATACACGAATGAGGACAGAGTTGGTCTCCAGGACCCACATAAGTCAAACTAGTGGTGCACACTTTAATCCCAAGGTGGAATGGCACCCATGATTTTCCTCTGCCTTCCACATATGCATGTGTGAGGACACACGCACACACACTCACACATGAGTGTGCACGTTAGCACATATTCATGTGCAACTGCACACTCATGTGCACACAGAAATCCTGCAGTTTGTCTTTCTGCTTAGCTTTCGTACATGTCTTTTAAAACAAACTGTCTCAAGAATACTCATATAATATAGTTCAAGCTTTAACCATATACATCTAATCACATTTTTAAAGAAATGAATATTTTTATATTGAAAACTGTTTTGCTTGCTCTGTATCAAATATAAACAGTATTCTACATGGTCTGAGTATGAATATGCTTTTCAGGGTTTGAAGAATACATGTCCTAGTTGCTGGTCTGACTTACAACTCCAGGAAGGTCGTCACTGCAGGGAGAGGGCAGGGCGTCAGGAACTTGAAGCATCTAGTCATATCCACAGTCTGGAGCAGAGAGTGATTGCAACTGCCTAGTTCAATTCCACCCTGATATAGTAGTCTGGGACCCAAACCCAGAGAATGGTACCACACACTATAGACTGGGTCTACCAAAATCAGATTACATAATTAAAATTCCTCACCGGTGTGGCCACAATTTTGTCTCAGCTAGACTGTCCCTCATCAAGAATCTCTTCTCAACTCTAGATCATATCAAGTTGACAGTTAAAACTGAACGTTATACATGTATATTTGGATATAGTGTGGATAGATCAACAGTAGCAGTCTTTTGTGATTCTATGAAAATTATACATGAGAAAATTATCAGAGAAAATTATACATGAGCCTTTGTATCTATATATTCAAGTATACTCCATAAGTATATCCTGGGACTTATTTCTCATCAGACTAAATGTATTAAGATGCTCGTGTGTGTGTGTGTGTGTGTGTGTGTGTGTGTGTGTGTGTGTGTGTACATATATGTATATGTATGTATGCAGTAGTGTAAGTGAACTTTAAATGCAGACTTCATAAGAGTAGTTAGTAATTAATGGATGATCAGAATAGAACCGTGTAATTCAAGAGGTTGAAGAGTGAGACGTAATCCTCCACTTGGTTACATAGTAGAGAGCATCCAGATAGCAACTGTTAGGTGAAGGGATTGTGAGGGATAGCTAGGTTCCTTAGTCTAGGTAAGCTGAGTGTGCTCTGAAAAGAGAAAGTCCACAAAGGAAATGGGCAGCATGGGCTGTGAGGAAAGCAGCTTTGCCACACACTTCATGCTCTATTCCTTACTCGTCCTTTCCTCTTATAGGTTCTTCTCGATGTTGAACGTCTGGGAATTTTTAATTTCAAAGTGCTGTCATTCTAATAGATTGAGTCCTTTTCTGAACTGCCTTTTTGTTTATTTGACCATTTCTATTTTGTTTTGTTTTATTTCCGAGTAGGGTTTCTCTGTGTAGCCCTGGCTGTCCTGGCACTCCCTCTGTATACCAGGCTGGCTTTGAACTCACAGAGATATGCCTGCCTCTACCTCCCAAGTGCTGAGATTAAAGGTGTGCGCCACCACCACCCAGCTGACCATTTCTATTTTCTGTTGATCCAACAAAGACAGTTACCTCTTATCTCTCCACCCTAAGACCTAGCATACCGTTTCATGTCCAATATTACAGGATGTATGGGTACATGGATGGACAGTTTGGGTTTTATTAACTTTCTATTTTGGGAGATTTTACTTAGGATAGCAAGTTTAAATTTCTTTTAGGTTAATGAGGCATAACTACCACATACTGCATTAATCAGCCATACCAGATTCCGTTGCTGGCCCAGTTAGGGTTCTGCTAAACTGTCTGGCTTCAAGGGAACAGTGTACATCTTCCTGTTCCTCAGTGGGAGTTACACGTACCTCTTGCACCCTAATTAGGACACAGCTATTTGCCAAGCTTACTGAAAAATGAGTCTTCTTTCTGCCTTTTAAGCCTTTCTCTCCCACTAATTTTTCACAAATCTTGTTATCAGTTTATTGCTTTTCTTAGTTAGAATATAATCTTACTTAGAATCTTAATATAGCACAAAATTAGTATTTAGTTGCCAGTCTATGAATAAGTCACTTTTGGCCAAAAGGTTTTGGCTCTCAAACCTTTTAAAACTGTTATGACAAAACACAGCTTTCTAGCAGCTTGAAGAAAGAGATTAATAAGAATTAAAAGAAAGCCTCAAACTACTTTATGGGTTTAGGGTTTCCCTTATTCCTCAACTTTTCATAATGCCATATACTTAAGTTGTCAGGATGCATACTGTAGTTGAGAGGATAATGTCTTCCTGTAGGTAGCACGAGCACATAGTGTTCAGACCTCAATGAGAACGGGGTTCACAGATTACATGCTAGAGTACCAGCATGACAGGAAGGGCAGTCACTCTTGACACTAATACCAGTTATACATGCAAGCTCACCAGCGCTCTTTACCATGCATAGCGTTAATATCATTAGCTTCAGTTTATCTTAAACTTAATTTAAGACGTAATAGAAATTAATTTTTCAAAAGAAGATAATTTCTATAACATTGGCAGAAATAACCACTTTTAGGTTAAAAAGTAATTCTAACTTTTCAGCAATAATCATTTAAGGAATGTTTTGAAATAAGGTGAAAATGATTTTATTTTGAGTAATCCTATTTGACTCCCTTTCTTGACTGCCTCTTTGTTCATTTGACCATTTCTGTTTGCTGTTGTCTCAAGTTCTGCTCTCCACCACTTATAGCCGCATGCAGAGTGGCGGGGTGACTAATGGCTGTCACGTGCGCACTCACTCTGAAACTTTTTACTGCTGCCTTTGCCAAAGATAAATTTAGTTCTTAAACATCAGTTTTGTGTCGCACGACTGCTCATCCTCTCTAACTTGCTGACTGCTTCACTGGGGCACTTACAAGCTGGTATTTTCCTACCATGACTGATTTTTACTATACGGGAGTTCCGTGTAGAGCATGGAATTAGACTCTAACCTTTGTTTCCGTTTCTCTAGAACTGTCAAGTAACCCACCTCTGGCCACCATCCTTATTCCTCCCCACGCTCGGATTCAAGCAGCTGCTTCCACCCCTACGAACGCCACTGCAGCCTCAGGTGAGTATAGTGGTCCCTCTGTTTTGTTCTTCTCACACGCTGAGTTGTCTCCATTTCCTGTGGTAAGTATGAACATTTAATTCCCCGTACTAATCTAAACACATCAGTCACATGAGTGAGAGAGAATAAAATACTGCTTTCCACCTAAAACATTCGAAGAAGCATCCCACAAACAGTGTGAACACATACATAATGCATTTTACATACAAGGTACATCCTGATTTCTTAGTATAAGATATTTAAAGGAGAAAACAGGTTTTATAAATGGAGCCTTGTGAGGAATGCTCCACTTTAGTTCTAACTTCTTCATGTCAATTACATTAACACCCTAAATAGGCAAGTCTTAAGAAGTATGGATATAAGTTAATATAATCTTAAATCATTGAAGGGGCTAAAAGTACAATGAAAATACATTTAATTTTACATCAGAATGTGATTAAACTATCACCCTCCTCACTCCCCCCACCCCACCTCAGAAAAACAAATAAAAACTCATAAAGATCCCCAAGTTATAGCTAGATCATAGAATGTGTTTCTGATTCCTGAGTCAGCTAGTTTGGAACTTGGGAAACATTAGTATACCAAGTGTCAGGAGCTACCCTTTGCCACATTATCAATTACATAGAACTGAAACATTTGGCTTTGAGGTTGTTTCTGCGTCAGGAGATGAGATATTTCATTTGCTGACAAGTCTGTGATGAGAGCTTTCAGCTCTCAGGAAAGGAAGAGTTCTGCTTCTATCCAGTGTAAATCTTTAAAGATTGAGCGTTCCATTCTACTCTGTCCTACCTTCCTTTAGCTTGTGGAACTTGGAGAAAGGCATTTGAACTTCATACTTATACTATGAGTATGTCAGGCTGCAAACTGAACAGCAGTGCTCTCCTAGAGTGATATTGTTGAAATCGTGTTCTGCCAAAATGTGGTTTAAAATTCTTTAGTGTAAAAATATAATTTTAGCAGGTCATGGTAGTACATTCTGAAATCTCAGCACTCCTGAGGCAGAGGCAGGCAGCTCTCAGAGATTTGAAGCCAACCTGATCTACATTGCAAGTTTTAGGCCAGCCAAAGCTATATAGTGAGACTCTTTCCCAAATAGAAAAGAAATACAGTGGTGTTTTGTTTTTTGGTTTATTTTTTAGTGCTGTTGCCTGATTGTTTAAAATAAAGACAGAGTGGTTAACTGAACTATCAATAAACGTATTGCTTCACTAACCACATGTATCAGGTTGGCCATTGACCATGTGGAGTAAACCCAAGCGCTGTGCTGATGTATCTACTCACTGAGCTTGTGTCCTGGAGGTTGAGTAGAGCTGCTTTAAACCAAACATGTCTAATCTGTACCCTGAAGGCTACAGGCAACCCCAGGATAAATAGCTAGGGTATGGCTCGGCACATTGATAGATAATAACTTTGTGTCAAAGGTTGGACAGTCATGCTTTAGGATATATGTAAAAATGAGAATTATGGGCTAGAAAGATAGTTCAGCATGTAAAGGTACTTGCCACCAAGCCTGATGACCTCAGTTCAATTCTAGGAACTTCTAGGTAGAAGGAAAGAACTGCCTCATATGGGCTCTCCTCTGACACCAACACCATGGCATAAATGTGAACACACAAATACAAATAAACGATAACTAGTAGAGAGTAGAAATTTTTAAATAATTTTTTAAAAATTTATATTTTTTGTGAGTGTTTTTGCTTGCATGTAGGTCTGTACACCATGTGTATGCCTGGTACCCAAAGGCCAGAAGAAGGTATTGGATCCCTTGTAACTGGAGTTATGAATGGTTGTGAGTTGCCATGTGGATGCTAGGAATGGAATCCAGGTCCTCTTCAAGAATAAGTGCCCTTATCCACTGAACCGTCTCTCTGCTTCTAAAATAATTTTCTTAATGTGAGATACTAAAATAATTAAGGATGTTTGTAACTCGGGCTGTAAAATATACTGTATTCTTAGAAAGGAGCCTGTTGTAACCTGGTCATACTGCTTTGGTACAGGTTATAATAATTTACAAAATATATTGCAGTATTATACATGGTTTTTATAGCTGTAAAAGAAAACTGAAAAGCTGGCATTGGATTGTGACCCTGAGAGTTTATGACCAAGCTGAAGTAACTTAGAACATGAAGAAGTTCATAGAAGAACAGTTACTAAAGTCAGGGTAAAGATGTGCATGTGCGGTCACCAGAGAGGATGGCATATATTTCTCTGAGCGCCCTACAGGTAAAGTCAACATTACCAGTGGTTAAGAATTTCCATTATTGGTTAGACAAGAAGCTTCATTGGCTTAGAAGGAGTGTTTCTGGCACTGCACTTTATCCGTATAGGCCTCAGACTTGGTACTGATAAAAATGACAGTCAATGAAGATTTCATCATTTTCACATAGTAAGTTATTTCTCATGGACACTTTCTTTAAGCCCTTCTCGTGTAAGCTAACTGTTTGACACCACAAAGAATAGAATTTTCTAGGGGCCAAATGAAGGTCAAATAAGTATGCCTCAACACTGATGTCTACCAACAGATTGACTATATGACCTTAAATAGCTGCCTCTAATTTAGTTATAGGTGTGTGGCAGTGGGAGTGACAGTCTTTAATGACCTTAAAAATACATGGCATCTGTTTTTCTTGCTGCAGGTCCATATCTATAAAGCAGCAGGGGTAGGATTTTGAGAAGTAAGAGACATAATACACATATGCATGACCCTGTGGCCTCTCAGTAGGCCCTCGGTGAGAGGAAAATGCCAGTACTAATTCTATTATTATTTTTGCAAACTAAGACAAGTCCAGTAATGGTTTTTAAAACACTGGACATGGTGGCTCACACTGGTATTACTAGCAGTTGACAGGCTGAAGCAGAAGGGTTGACATGAGTTCAAGGCCATAATGGGCTACATGAGTGAGTACTATGCCACCAGGACTTAAAAGCAAGACTTTGTCTCACGACAAAGCAATACAGCATCCCACATACATGGAAGGCAAAGTCTCTCTCATCTTGGATAAGTGGGAGTCCATCACCACACAGAGACATAGCAAAAGAATGCTTTTAGGCATACACAAAGCTCTCCTCAGAAACCATTTCTTAGTCTGCTTCATACTTCAAAAAAAATAAACATTTAAGCTGCAAAGCTCTAGGCTTGGATAGCTGAACCTAAAAGTATTGTAAATATTAAATTTTCAAAGTCAGAATTTCTAATATCCACCTAAACCGTACCACCTAAATAAACCCTAGCATGTCGTGGGTTTAATGAGTTAGAATTTGAACCTCTAAGTTATTATAATAATTGCCCTTCTTGATTTAAGTCACTGTAATAGAAACTCTGTATCAAAAATAATTATCAATTTTGAGGCTGAGTCACTTTTAGTTTATAATGAAACCATATCACCAAGAAGCAGATACCTGTCTTCAGCAGCCCAGGGATGTGCCTGTCAATCATCTAAAAAGGTTTAGGTACAAAATGAATTCAGAACTTGGGCATAGCCCTGAGTTACCATCTGACCTGTAAAGTATTATTTCTCCTCCTGCTCCACACAGTCCAGAGCAAAGCTGCCGGGCCCTTGGGTGACTGCCTCAGAAGTGTCCATGTTTGTAGCTGTCTAGAGAAAGGATTGGGATGTTCTGGCTTTCTTTTGGTCCTGGAAGCAAAGCTCAGTCCTGAGTAAGTGGGACATAAGTAGAAAAGCAAGACAGATTGACAAAAGATATCGTTAACCACAATTATGCTGGCTGTCATGAGATAAGCTTTGGACTAATGGCCAGAATTACTAAGTAGCTTCCAGATGCCTAGATGTCGATGAATTTTTTCTGTTGCTGCTTCTGGGAAAGCAAAGAAAATAAATCTTTACATATCTGGATAGAGTCCTAAAGTCCTTTTGGTGTTACTCTGGGGACATATAGTTAGTTCTTACTGTGTGGCCTCACCAGAAACTTTGACTATTAAATTTTGTAGTCACAATTTCTCACCCTTCTTGAAAGTTGCAAGGATAGTATGTCTATTACATTAAATGTTTTGATTACTTTTACTTCTGTTGTGTTCAGTGTTTAAGTAGCCACTTGTAGGCACAGTGACTAAAAATGCATTGGAAAATATTAGAATTTACAACCATCAAAGTTCAAATTTAAAAATCACTAATCCCAGTTTAGGGCTTTAGCTTCCTGAAATATCTAGTAGAAGAAGAAAACGCCACTCCATATAGTGACAGGAATCACATATATAACAATAAAGGCTATCGTAACAGATTTTGTATGTATGATAGGACAACAATGTTCTGGATGGCAAACAGCAGAAAATGGTTTGAATTCATTGTGGAATTTATTCTTTTATGAAGTTTGAACAGTTTTGGAAATATTCTAGGGGCACTTGTAAATCTTTAAAATCATGTTGGTGACAATGCTAAATTGTAAAGAAGGGATATGTGTATGTGTGTGTACACGTGTGTGTGTGTATATATATATATATGTAATGTTTTGTTAAATTAGACTGTCAGTGTTGAAATTCCTCCCCAAAAGACCATTTTAGTGCTGCATCTATGTTTTAGTTTTAGCAGTACTTTTACCTTTAAATGCTTCAGTATCTTGGAGCATTAGAGTTGAGCATGTCTCTAAATGACTTAATCTCCTGAACTCTCTGTGAATTTCTTCCAGCTGGACCATTGACTCACACACAAACTTCTTCAGAGATCATTTGATTGACTATCGAATGAACTGAATGTAAGGGATACAAGGATATTATAAGTAGAGCAGTTTTTCTCTGTCCATTGAGGATGTTAGTCTAATGAATACAGATGATTTCAACTCTAAAGCCGAGATCTCATTGTTTACTGAGCAGAGATAATCTATCCCATGATTATTCCAGTAGCAGAACCCACTACTGCCAACAAAACCAGCACGTTCCATTTTTGCATCACCCGTTATCAAGTTGACCCCACACACACCCTAGAAGTGATTTCTATGTGGATCACTTTGGTAATCCATGTAGGATTACGCTCAACCAACCAAAC